CGGAGACGTAACAGTATATTTGTGATGACAATGTTATGTTTAATAATGTTAAGACTTTTCCACTTTTAAGTTTCTAAGTTTGAAGTTATTCTGGTATTAATGTAGTTACAAACTTTCATATTTGTATACAAATGAAACGGTGGTGTTGATTTAATTTTGTTTTGTGACACTATTGAGTTTGTGTCCAGTACAATTAAGGTATAAAGTAAACTGTTTTCATTATTTTGGGTTTGAATAGTTTCAGTTGGGACGGGGGGTAGGGGATTGGATAATTTGTTTTCATAAATATATCATTCCTATTATACAAATTGTAGTTAATCACAATATAAATACTTGTTATTGTCACTACAAAAAAAAAAAGTGGGTTTTATTTAATTTGACGTACTCTATCTTCACAAACTTTTCTTTTGATTTTAATTAACTGTTATTATAAAACTTGTTTTATTGTGAAATTCGTCTGTTTCAGGTTATTTTCTTCTCGACAAAAATCTTTGAAAATGCTGGGCTGACCAAACAAATGGCTCTGTATGCAACATTGGCTATGGGAACTATCAATGTACTAATGACCATAGTGTCACTGGTTTTGGTGGAGAGAGCTGGACGTCGTACACTACAACTTGTTGGGCTTGGGGGGATGGCAGTCATCACACTCTTGTTGACCATCTGTTTAGTTTTTAAGGTGAGACTTAAGATTAAAGCTTAGGAAAACAATTGTTGCATTACAAGCTGACAAAAACTTAATCTCAACTTTAAAGCCATTGATATTATATTTACAATAGTCTTGATTCTTTCCAGTATTTAATGAGATGCTTAAATGATGGTTTAAACATTCCTCTCTTAGGGTTGTTGAGAATAAGCTAGCATAGAAGTCGGTTTTCTTTTAAGAAGTTCAAAATTTATAATTAAAGTATTGATGGAAGATCCTTATCTGTTTGACCTAGTTATAAGATGATTAAAAACCCTATAACCCCGAGTGCTTCTGAAAGGTGGGCCTTTCTTCTTTGGAGGCAAACTGAGATGTCAGCTATTTGACCTAGTTATTAGATGAATAAAAAAACCCTATAACCCAGAGTGCTTCTGAAAGGTGGGCCTTTCTTCTTCAGATGCAAACTGAGATGTTAGCTATTTGACATAGTTATAAGATGATTAAAAACCCTATAACCCTGAGGGCTTCCGACAGGTGGGCCTTTCTTCTTCGGAGGTAAACTGAGATGTTGGCTATTTGACCTAGTTATAAGATGATTATAACCCTGAGTTCTTCCAAAAGGTGGGCCTTTCTTCTTCTTCGGATGCAAACTGAGATGTTAGCTATTTGACCTAGTTATAAGATGATTAAAAACCCTATAACCCTGAGTGCTTCTGACAGGTGGGCCTTTGTTCTTTGGAGGTAAACTGAGATGTTTGACCTAGTTATAAGTTAGGAGTTGGAGTGAGAAAGTAAAATAAACTTTCACTCGTGTAGATGTTTCTTTGTTCTTGGTTGTATGTTCCAAACATTCTCTCGTTAAACTAAACTTTTCGAGATAAAAAATTGCAGTTTGGTGTTTTTCTTCTCCCTTCTAGAATTCCGCAACTTGGTTGTCTTACTTGAGCATCGTCCTAGTGATCGGGTTTGTGGTGATGTTTGCTACTGGACCAGGTAAGTTTGAAGGAAATAACTAAACTTGACTGTTTTTGTATCAGTTAGACCTTGTAAATATGATAGTAGTACTGGATGAAGAACATTAATGGTTAAGTAACGCTTTCCTCTTCCATTAATGTACATACCTCAAGTTAGACCTTGTAAATATTATAGTAGTGCTGGATAAAGAACATTAATGGTTAAGTAACACTTTCCTCTTCCATTAATGTACATACCTCAAGTTAGACCTTGTAAATATTATAGTAGTGCTGGATAAAGAACATTAATGGTT